CGCCAGCTCGTGACGTCACCGCCCCCTCTATGACGTCACTTCCCCCATATGTATGACGTCACCACCCCCTGGGTATGACATCACCACACACACACACGTATGACGTCACCACCCCCTGGGTATGACATCACCGTGCCCCACATTGATGATGTCACCACCCCCGTGTATGACGTCACTGCGCGTCCGTCGATGACGTCACTGCGCTGCCATCGATGACGTCACCGCGCGGGCGTCGATGACGTCACAGGAGGAGGACGGCTCCACCTGCCTGCACCACGCGGCCAAGAACGGGAACCTGGAGATGGTGGAGCTGCTGCTGGGCACCGGCCAGGTGGACGTCAACGCCCAGGTGAGTGACCATTGAGTGACCACTGAGTGACCACTGACCATTGAGTGACCCTGAGTGACCCCTGAGTGACCCCTGAGTGACCCCTGCGTGACCACTGAGTGACCTCTGAGTGACCCCTGAGTGACCCCTGACCCCTGAGTGACCCCTGACCCCTGAGTGACCCCTGAGTGACCACTGACCATTGAGTGACCACTGAGTGACCCTGAGTGACCAATGAGTGACCCCTGAGTGACCCCTGAGTGTCCACTCACTGTCCTGAGTGACCCCTGAGTGACCCCTGAGTGTGTGAGTGTCCACTCTGTGTCCTGAGTGACCCCGAGTGACCTCTGAGTGACCCCTGAGTGACCACTGAGTGACCCCTGACCCCTGAGTGACCCTGAGTGACCCCTGAGTGACCACTGACCATTGAGTGACCCCTGAGTGACCCCTGAGTGACCCCTGAGTGTCCACTCACTGTCCAGAGTGTCCTGGCAGTGGTCAGAGGGTCAGGGCTGCTCTGGGGCTGTTTTTGGGTGGTTTTGGGTGTTTTTTGGGTGTTTTTGGGCTGGTTTTGGGTGGTTTTGGGTGATTTTGGGTGTTTTTCCGTTGTTTTTGGGGTGATTTGGGGTGTTTTGGGGTTGTTTTGGGGTGATTTGGGCTGTTTTTGGGTTGTTTTGGGGTTATTTTTGGGCTGGTTTTGGGTTGTTTTGGGGTTGTTTTTGGGATGTTTTTGGGGTTGTTTAGGGGCTGGTTTTGGGGTGATGTGGGCTGTTTTTGGGGTTGTTTTGGGTTGTTTTTGGAGTTTTTGGTTGTTTTTCGGTTGTTTTTGGGTGATTTTGGGATGTTTTTGGGTGTGGTTTTGGGGTGGTTTTGGGGTGTTTTTAGGCTAATTTTTTGGGTGTTTTTGGGGTGATTTGGGGTGTTTTTGGGTTGTTTTTGGGCTGTTTTGGGGGTGTTTTTGGGGTGATTTGGGGTGTTTTTGTGGTTGTTTTTGGGGTGTTTTTGGGTTGGTTTTGGGTTGTTTTGGGGGTTGTTTTTGGGCTGTTTTTAGGTTGTTTTGGGGCTCTTTTTGGGGTTGTTTTTGGGCTGATTTTGGGGTTGGTTTTGGGGTGATTTTGGGTTGGTTTTGGGGTGTTTGGGGTGTTTTTGGGTGACCCCTGGGTGACCCCTCAGGACAATGGCGGCTGGACCCCGATCATTTGGGCGGCCGAGCACAAACACATCGAGGTCATTCGGCGACTGCTGACCCGAGGGGCCGACGTCACCCTGACCGACAACGTGAGCGCACCTGGGCACACCTGGGACACCTGGGGACACCTGGGCACACCTGGGGACACCTGGGGACAGCTGGGGACACACCTGGGGACACCTGGGCACACCTGGGGACACACCTGGGGACACCTGAGATACACCTGGG